CCCGGCCGGGCACCCCGGGCTGGACCGAGGCCCCCCAGCCCCGCTCGCCATGCCCGCCTCGGCGCGGAGCAACACGCCTGCCCGCCCCCGTGCGGCCCTGCGCTGCTGGAGTATTCACCTTTTTGTCAAATAGTTTATTTTATTCATAGGGCAGGAGCTCTTTTGAACTCGCAGAGCATGCTGAAGCCACTGAGGAAAGTAAAGAAGCAAAGATTTGGGCCGTTAAGTCGCTCACTTTTCACGTCCGGATCCCGTATGTGGGTCTGAAGACGAGGGCCAGTGGCAAGTCATGATTTGGTGCATGCAACCTGCCAATGAATGAAAACTTACTAAAAAAGCAAAAACTAGATTGCTGTTTGAATGCAGCTGTTTGCAGATGGCAGATGCAATCTTTCTAGAGGACAAAAGGATGCCCATATCCCCAAAGAATCATTTTGCTAAGACCTACCATTTGCCTTGGTCTAGCCCCATTCCTGAGACTAAAAATTCCCATCCTTAGAAATAATATTTTGAGTCAGCGTGTACTTTATCTCTGGTGAGGAAGCAATATTCAAGAAGGGTGAACACTGTGAGAAATAGAAAAGCTTTTGCCTTTCTTACTAAAACACAGATTTCAATATTACATATCTTTGTTGTATTTGGGACAGATTGTTTTTGGAGCCTTTAAAAATCCCATTGATTTTTTTTTCTTTCATGCCCAAACTAAAATACTGTATATCTATATTTATGATGTGTGATTTGAAACCTAACATACTTTCTTTTGTGTTAAGGATTTCATAGAGTATGGTCCGTCCCTTGCCTTTCCTTTCACACGAGGCCCAGTACATTTCTCTAGCGGGGACTGGTATTTGGCAAAAAAGGAAAAGCATATGAATTTATAGTATTTATATATATAATGTGTGCTTGCGGTTATTAATAACACATTTCTAGAGGATAACCTGGTACTAGAAGGATGTAGAGAGCAAGTTCCATTCCAGCAGCAAAAGTGGAGCTTTTAGTAATGCACTATTCCCGTAGGCTGAGTTGAGCAACAACGAAGACATTAAGACTGTCCTTGTTTCTTTCCAATTCTGGATAAAAATGTGCCCTGCTTTCCTTTTTCGTGTGCATTTGACAAGCAAATACTTTTTATGACAACAGTGAAAACGCGTCATCTTTTCAGAAAGGTATGCGGCACTGCGCAGTGTGGTTCAGAGCTGCTTAAGGATTGGAAGTGTTACAATATACTGTGGTTCTCAA